ACTATAATTTTCTTTTTTTTTTTTTTTTTTTTTTTTTTTTTTTTTTTTTTTTAGGTTTACGTGGTGCAATAGCATTTGCATTGGCTATTCGAGACACAGAATCCCAACCCAAACAAATGATGTTTACAACAGCACTGCTTATTGTGTTTTTCACAGTCTGGGTATTTGGTGGGGGCACAACACCAATGCTTACGTGGCTTCAGATCAGGTTAGTACTCTCTTTACAACATTAACCATCAAAATAGAATGCAATCACTATGGATCACTATATTCCTGTAGCTTTCTAAGGCTTACTTATATGCTTTTTAGTAGAGTTTTACAAGCACAAAAGAAGTATTTGGGTACCTGATAGAGTTCCTTGGGTACCACAAGGAACAGTTTCTTCCCAAGTTCGTTATGGGTTTGGACCTAGGTCAGACACATCCTTATTTCCTAAGAGTTTGTTTCACTACTGTTCCTTTTAAACACTGTGAATAAACGTTAGCCGTGTCCTCCTCACTGTTGAAGAAAGAGCTATAAAGGCATATTTTGCCCTCATCTAAAAGTGTGTATTTATTACACAAACATGTCATAAGTAATATATTTCTAATTATAATGTGAATATATGAGAAAATCTACCTGCATTGGTGCATCATTCAGCCATTAATTTATTACTCATTGTTTTATATATGATCCTTCACTGTATTATTTTTTAAATTACTTCATAGTCACCTGTATTCACAGACAGCAGTGAATGACAAGGGAGGTTAAATGAGAAAAGAGAGGGAAATAGGAAGCTGGAATAAAGAGTATCTAATTTAAATGTAGTGTCTGCCAAGTGTGCTTTCCAAAACCCCGCTTTCAACAATAAGAGTGTAATATTATTGCTGAGTTCTGGTTACTTCATAATCCATTTAGAACTTACTGCCATGGTTTGTAAGGTCACCAAAGAAAACCTCAGTATCGAGGTAGGCTTATAATTCACAATTCCTTTTCACTTATTCTATATGTAGCATATGCTTTCCTTGTTTACAAAATTATGTCTGATTAACAAGCCTTCATATCAGACTGTTGCTATAAAATACCAGCAGAAGATAACTAAATTGGAGTTTTAACAAAGAGCATAGATAAAAGCTTACAGACAAAATAAGGACTAGTGGACAGATATACTGTATAAACATAAAATGCAGGCATCCATATGCAATGTGGGGGCTTTCTATTTCTGTAACAGTTTGACTCTTTTTCATAACAACTCTCTTATGACCTATAATGTCAATCAAATTGTGGATACACTCTGCCACTATCAGCCATCTTTCTGAGATTTGCCACTTTTTCACTGTCAGTCAGCAATAGAGTCACTCTATATGGCAACAGAAATGTGGGTGAGAAGGAATATTCTTATTAGATATTGCGGACCAAATCGGTTTGGATTACTATAATAGGAGATTAAGGAATAATTCTGAGAATACAGTAAGGGAAAAAGGAGGTGGGCAGTAGTCATGTGTCTAGGCTAAGGACTTAGGTCACTAGATGGCCGTCCCATTCTAGCCCTCTAGGTAGTTTTTAAATGGACATTGTCAAGTGCTTTCACTAACACAAGCAATTTAATTGGATGCAATGGCATTTCTTCTGCCACTTAGTAGTACCCAGAGGTGGGAAGGCCCACAAGACCACAAGTGAGGGGGCTGACTCTCATACTAACTTTTTATACTGTTCAATGCAAGCATGTGCTTCTTTCTTTACCCACTTGTACAACAAACAGATTTTACCAAAGACATTGAAAGCAGACGGTGATTTTTGGTCTGAAATGCTCATCTCTTTGGGGATCTCCTCTGAATCCCAGCAAATCTGCCAGGCAGATTTACCAATCAAATAATTAGTTTTTGTAGCTGGGATATAGATTTTCTTACTACAAAGCTATTAGGTTCACAATTCCCACTTAATTTCTTGACATCAGAACATACAGCTTCATAAATTATGAGTGTGTGGCCAAACTGAGATAAAACTTTAAATAGACATCTTTAATTACAAATGTATCTTGAGGCTCTGATTTCTCTTTCTAGTGAATATATTTAACTGTCTTTATAATTTATTACACCTCAGTATGGAATTTCGTCCTTAGCTATCAGCATTTGTCATTTTAGTCTTAAGTAATTTTGCTAAGTAATTATTTAAAGGTGGTGGTAATTCATGTCAGTTGATACTTGTATGGGTTTGCTGAGAGAGTTATGGGACTGCTCCAAATTACACCACTTTGCTGGTGTACTACCCCCAGTATGCTTGCAGCTGTGCCTGAATGGCAGTTGTGAGCTGCATCTACCCCCACATTTTTTTTTATAAAATTGGAAGAAAGAGATTGTATTTTTCATGCTAGTTCGGAGGGTTCAGCTCACAAAGCCAAGGGAAACTGTATTATGAGTACAAAAATTATGCAATTGTCTGTGAAGAGACTCATTGGAATGGGTTGGTATGTCATCAATTACAGAAAAAAAGGGATTAAGCCAGTGAAATGCTGCAACTATTTCTGTAAGTATAGAAGAGGGAGACTGGTCTTACACTAGCCCTTAATTGTTCAGTTGATGTGAACTTAATACCAGGCACCATCCCAGGGCAGTTTGACCACTTCTGGGTGATTCCCCAGTGCTTTAGGGAACCAGATTTACCAATATCGCTCAAATCCAAAGCACAGCACTAGATCAATTAATCTAAACAACTAGAAATAAAGTTATTCCCATTAAATTAAGTACTTACAGTCAATGAAAAACATATGAATGGCTGCTTTAAGGTCACCGTGACTACACTGGATTTCCCTACGTAACCTATGAGTTGCTGTATAGGTAACCTTCTCAGGAGACAGGAACAGTCAAAAATACAGTGAATCAGCAAATAATAGCCTAAAGCTGAGTGTGCTTTTTTGCCAATTAACCATTTCATCATAAAACGATTATCCAGCAGGTAGCATATTTAATTGAACAGGAGGCATTTAGAATATAATAAAGAGAAACATGTGATTTCTGAGACTATTTGGATGAATTGAATCTTATTCACATACATTTTAACTTGTGCCCACTCTAGTTATGTGGAATAGGCTACAGTTCCTATCAGTAGTTCAGGAGATGCAGCTCTTAACTCCTCAAGGTCGATCAAGTCAATCTTATCCTAGAGATGAGTGCGCTGTTTTGTATGTTACAGATTAACTTATCCACATTTTGGTTTTAAAACATAAATAAGTCTATCATCCATTAAGTTGAAGATATGTAAAAATAACATAAATTACAAATAACTAACGCTAATATATTTACCATTTGCTCTACCATAACGCATTACAGTGTTAGTCAAGGTAAAGGACAGTATCTGTACAGCCTTCTTATTTTATATTATTGTCTACATATTATACCATATTTCAGTGATTTATTGCACTCTTTGTAATTTACATTGTGAAATTCTCATAACAGTGACGAAGACTCCTCGTATATCAACAGACTGTAAGGGAACATAACAATGACAATTTTTAAATAATGGTAGTAATAGTCTTCTGAAAAATCAATCTTTGTTTCCATAATAACTGCAATTTCCATAATCTTCCACCTCTCCTCACAGCAATAGCATCAGATCTGCTTTTCTTTTTTTTCAGTTAAAATTCAACTTAATGTAAATATAATCTGTCACACTATTTTTAGAGAAAAGATGAAGACGTGTCCTCAGAGATAACTACCAGCTGATTTATTCCAGGAATACGTATGGCTTATACAACACTTGCAAATTGTTGCCAAAACATGTTGTAAGATACATTATCAAAACTAACCATGTGCTACTGAAAAAGGTTCCATTTCCATCTCCCATTTAATGCAGCAATATCACTCAACTATCTCACAAGGTTGCAGAGGCCAGCTGTGCTGAGAGCTTTGTAAAAAGAAGCTTAAATGGATCCCAGGAGTTCACCCAGTTTTATTAAGGTTCACAGTTCTAGGTCCCTTCATTTAACAAAAGAGTTATATTGAAACATATGCTCCTACTTAAACTATAGCTTGAATCTAGGAAAGGTTCTTAAAGCCTTGGAAATCTGACCTGCTAATGGCAGAATTTATATCTACATGTCTCTGTATGTCAAAATACAGTTTTAAAAGAAATACATACTGATCATTCTCATTATCTTACTAGTGTATTTACCCATACAGAGTAGTCTTCAAAATGAGTCTTAAAATTCTTGGCAAAGTCTGAACATTTTTTAAATTTGTTTTAAAAGAATGAGGCATACATTTTCAAAAATGTCTTATTTGTTTTATCTGCCTCCTTTTTTAGATACCTGAAACTCTGAGTTTCAGAAAATGTTCAGTGTTCGCTTTCTGAAAATCAGGTCCTATTTAAATGTTCCCAGTTGTCTGGCACGGTAACATAACATTTCTGAGCACAGAGACGTATGCACGGTCTGTTACAGCATTATCAGCTGAATTGTGAGAGCAGAATTGGTTGCGCTACGTTCCTAAATAATACATTGTCTTTTGGTTTATCTGAGAGTTATAACTAGAAAAAAATTGCCTTTACTCCCCGTGTGAAAGGACTACAATATACTGCTCTTGGCAGACAATGAATAAACCTGCATCAGTGTGTGAGAATAATATCATGATACATCAACAACAAAACAAAGATAGCCATTTAAGTATGAGTTCACAGTCAAATTGAGATGTTCAACAAATGTGCCTTCAGAGATGTTGAGTGTTACCTGCTAATGCTTTTGGATATATGTCTCCATTCCCCATACTCTGATTAAAAAAAGAGAGCTACATTTTACAGTAGATCTGCAATGAGAGGTTTGGGGATAAAGGATTCTCCTGACAGGCAGAGCAAAAATACAAAGCTGTTAATAAAACATGTCCTATAAAAGTATTGTGCTAGGTATTAGGTCCTGTTTGTTTATCATCACCTCCAGTGTAAATGTTTGTCAAGGGATTTCCAGACTTTTTGCATCTCTCTGCAGCAGTTCTTCAGTGAATAAGGAGATTTTTATTCCATATTCTAAATAAATACTAGTTGAATAGTAACTGTCAATACTGTGCCTATCTGGCCATTGCCTTTGATATGTATTTTAGAAACTGGCTATGTCTATGTGCCTGGCTGCCCTTAAAAACATGCCATCTCTATTTCACATAAAACTTCAGTTCCAAACCTCCAACTTCCTGTAAATACTAATGCCAGAGGCCTGGCATACCGTATTTTGGGGGGACGACC